CCTGCTTTAGCCCCAAAACCCCAAAACCCCAAAACCCCAAGCAACGATCCCAAATTGACCCAAAAATGTCCAAAACATTTTCCTCATAATTCTCTTTTAAAAAGAGCTATCTCACCAGCTAAAAGAGCCAATATGCCCTTCTTATTATCCTTTAGTTCCATTTCCTTGCTTCTTTATCTTAAGCATCATTGTAAAGACTCCAGCCACAAAGGTGAAAACAAGCAAAATGATAACAGGCGTCTGCCTTGGTTTTATCTCTGCAACCTGGGGTGCAAATATGGTGAACACTCTTGCGAAGAAGTTTCACATAGAGAAAGAAAATGGAACGAATAAGGGTGGGAACGTCTCTGGATTTATGTAATAAGCCATACTGAATGCACCCTCGATAAAGAATTTACCTGAAAAAACTCAAATTGCTATAAATATTGCATTTTCGATGAAAAGTAGAGGAATAGCAGAGACTAGAGATAGAGAGAAGCATAGAATCAGCGACTTTTTAGATCCGATTAGTTTCTGGATGAAGCTTGATGACACATTTCCTGCAATGTCAGAGACAGCACTTGCAAGAGTGTTGATGAAAATGTTATAACTAAGCTTCTATGCCAAATGCCTTTATATTTGAGGTAAAAGCTGATCATATAGTAGTTGAATGAAACTACACAGAAGATGACTATGGCACTACTCAGGTTCATAATAGTTCTCTTATTCTTAAGTTCTTGCCATACAGAAAACTCTTTTGTTGAATCCTTCTCAATCAAGGATTGACTAAATTTCTCCAGATTATTACTATCTCCAAGGTTAGTATCAGAAATATCCCCACTCTTGTTGATATACCCTGGATTATCATTGGTTAGTACAGAGCCTTCATTCCCATTCTGTTCTATTTAATCTAAATAAATTAAAGCTTACCTAAGTTTTCAAGTGAATTAGGTATCAGAGCTTCACCTTCAATTTGATAATCTCCCATACTGACACCATTGAATCTTGCAATATAAGCTAAGTTCTTTCGCAGTTCGACAAAACACTTTTTCTCAAATAAATACTTTGGAGATTCAGGAACCATCATAGTCAGGGGGATGGCTGTAAATGACAATACAAGGCCAGCAAGAAGGAAGTGTTGCATGTTGCTCCCTCCAGCTAGCAAGAATACAGCGGCAGGGATCATTGCTAGCAGTGATTCTGAAGACAGCAGCCAACTACTCGTATATACTTGGTATTTCTTTGGAACCACCTCCATTCCTAGGATATATATTGCAAAATTTTTGTAGAGCGAAAGTCCTAAAATAAACAGCCCAATATACTTGGCATACAAATTTCTCCAGAAGAAAAGTATACTAGCAGATGCTGCAGCTATGATAGCCCCAGAGAGAGCAGTCTTCTTTCTTCCAAATCGATCTGCTTGCTTAAGCCCAATACCACTGAGTGCAAACCCTGCAAACATGATAGAACCAAGGAGACCAATCATAAAATCACTATATCAAAAGAGCTCAAGGTCTGTCATCCAGTTGTGGAAGCTTTTAGAGTCTGTAAAATCTATTCTCCATAAATTCCTACATGCACATTAGTTCGAATATGTTAGAGAGCTTACCTGTCTATGAGGCCTTCTTCAGTGCAGATATCGGCTTTATTTTCATACCTCGAAAACTGAAGTTCCTTCAACCAATCACTCAAGTCTTGGTACTAACTCCAAGAATGAAAGGCTATAAACAAAGAAGCTAACGCCTTGTCTTGCGATAGGGGCATATAGCATCATCATCCACTGGAATCTGCCAAACCCCCCGGCTCGACAGATACATTCATCAATGCTAAGTGGTCGTGAGATTTGAGGAGGAGAACCCGGATTCAAAGCTGACATTTATTTCCAATATTCTTTTGGAATTTTGGGGTTTTGGGGTTTTGGGGTTTTGGGG